CGACTTAAGATATTGAGTTAAGATTTTCAGTGAAGATAGAGGAAAGATTGTAGATGTGCAAATAGACATCTATATATCTCCAGCTCAAATGGCGCCGAAGCTCGCCTGGGCTCGAAAAATAGGCTCACAAGCATCTCGCAAAATTTGACACGTTTTCTTTCATATCTTTTTACCTGTAAATATTTTGTTAAAACATATATTACAAAAGATGTGCAAAATGATAAAACCTTTCATATGATATCAAGAAAAAAAGGCTGATCCCTCAATTTAGGGGCTCAGAGGGGCCAAAAGTCTTTCAAGTATAACTCTTGAATGATCAATATTTTGTTATAAATTACTTAAGCAAAAATATTCACCTTCACGATTTACAACTATTTTGTTTAAAATTTTGATCATATGTTACGTAATAAGGGGCCAAAAGGGACCAGAATGCTAAATCTTATATCTCAAATAGGAGGAATATTTTAGTAAGCAATATTTTACAAAAGATGTTCAGAATAATGTTCTTAACAATATGCACCCTTTCAATTTTTGCAAAACGGTCCCATTAAGGACTTGGAGGGGTGGCCCCTAAATATTTCCATTCAGCATATCTCTACAATGAAAAGAAATCTCTGAATAGGTGTTGAACAAAAATGCTTCAAAATCACAAGACCTTTCATTTGATATCAAGAAAAAGGGTCTGACCCCTGAAATTAGGGGGTTAAAGGGGCCAAAAGTCCTTCATCTATAACTCTTTAACAATCAATAATTTGTAATGTATTACTGAAGCAAAGATGTTTATCTTAACGATTTACAACAATATATGATAAGATTTTGATCATATGTTACGTAATAAGGGTCACAAGGGGCCAGAATGCTAAATCTTTGATGCTTTATATCTCGAAAATGGGGAATATTAAGATAAGCAATACTGAACAAAAGATGTTCAGAATAATGTTCGAAACAATATGCACCCTTTCAATTTTTGTAAAACGGCCCCATTAAGGACTTGAAGGGTGGCCCCTAAATATTTCCATTCAGTATATCTCCAAAACCGAAAGAAATCTCTGAATAGGTGTTGAACAAAAAATCTTCAAAATCACAAGGTCTTTCATTTGATATTGAGAAATGGGGGCTGACAAATTAAGGGCTCAAAGGGGCCAACAGTCTTTCATCTATAGCTTTTTAACTATCAATATTTTGTTATCAGTTACTGAAGCAATAATGTTTAACTTAAAGATTTGCCACTATATATTATAAAATTAAGATCATATGTTGCGTAATAAGGGGCCAAAAGGGGCCAGAATGCAAAATCTCTGACGCTTCATATCTCAACAAGGGGAGATATCTTAATAAGCAATATTGAACAAAAGATGTTCAGAATAATGTTCTGAACAGTATGCATCCTATCAATTTTTGCAAAACGGCCCCATTAAGGACTTGAAGGGTTGTCCCCTAAATATTTCTATTCTACATATCTCGAAAATGACAAGAAACTTCTGAATAGTTGTTGAGCAAAAAATGTTTAAAATCACAAGTCTTTTCAATTGATATCAAGAAAAAGGGGCTGACCCTTCAAATTAGGGGATCAGAGGGGCCAAAAGACTAATATGTAACTCTCAAATGACCAAGAATTTGTTATAAATTACTGAAGCAAAAATTCTTAACGAAACAATATGCAACAATATGTTGTAAAATTTTGATTCTCTATTGTGTAATTAGGAGCCAAAACGGGCCAGAATGCTAAATCTTTTACGATTCATATCTTGGAAAGGGGAAACATTTTGAGTAGCAAAATTGAACGAAAGATGTTCAAGATTATGTTATGAAATATATGGAGATAACGAACAGTATTCAATCTCAAAAGTCCATTAATCAATACAAAATAGGAGCAGAGCAAACACGGACTTTCAAACATCAGAGGTGGGATCAGATGCCATGAAGGAGTGAGCATTCCCTGCCAACCGGTCACACCCGCCGTGTGCTCCTTGTCATGATCGGGAAATAACGGAAAAATCCGTTGACAATTCAGTGTGTAAATAATGGCCTAACAATTAGTATGAAAAACGTCAGTCAGCATTTGACTCAATGATAAATTGTATTTGCTGACAAGGTCATTGTATCGACCATAGAACTTACGAAATGATGACTTTAAACGAGACAGCTGATATTCTTGTTTCATCAACTTATTTGTCAATAATTTACTTTGTTTTAGAAATTGTACATACGTAGAGCATGCTCTTGCGTATCGAATCAACTGAGAGATATATACCCCGTATGCAGGTGATGAAGGTATATTGCTGCATAAGTAAGGGAAGTTGACGATTGAAAAGTTAAAGTCATCACGTTTATCATAAAGCTTGGTTGTTAGATTACCATTAACGTCTTTTTCAAGTAAAATATCCAAATATGAAACAGATGTGTCAGACTCTGTGGTATCTTTTATCTCAAGTTCACAAGGATATATCGTATCGACATAAGAATGGAAATAGCCATTGTTAATTGACAATACGTTGTCGATATATCTAAATGTCGAGTTGAAGGCCACAGCAAGTGTTTTCTTCTTTTCACGTAGAAGATTTTGAACAAATTCTGCTTCATATGAATACAAAAAAAGGTCTGCTAATAACGGGGCGCAATTGGTACCCATGGGAATTCCAATAGATTGTTGGAAGACCTGGTCTCCAAAAACCACATAGATATTGTCAATCAGAAACTCAAGCATCTTTTTAATGTCAATTTCAGAGTACTTGTGTGAACAATCAGAATGTTTTTTAACAAAATAATTTTGCAAATGACCAATGACAAGGTAAGTATATTTACGAGTTCCATTTTTATTGAAAAAGCAGCTGTCAATGATATCAAAAAGCCTGGACTTTAATTTATCGTGGGGAATGGTTGTGTACAAAGTTGAAAAGTCGTAAGTTTTTAAGCTGTTGATTTTGGTAAAATCTTGTGATTTCAAATTTTCCAAAAGTTCCTTGGAATTTTTAAGTATCCACATCTGATTTACACCACTTCTCGAATATATTGTTGCACAGTACTCTTGAAGTTTCTCCTTCACCACTGTTAATATCTTAGTGAGGAGTAAAGATAGAGGCTTGGTTGAACATTTACTGGAACCCAATATGTATCTTTGTTTGTAAGGATTTTTATGAAGTTTCGGAATCCAATATAAATATGGTAATTCAAATTCATTTTGGTTGTTTGGAATATTAAAAATATTCAAAACTGACATATGATTTTGAAGAATATCTTCCTTAGAAAGGGAACTATGAGTATAAGTTGGATTACCACTTGTAGAATTAAATCCAAGTTCCTCTAAAATACATTTAATATAATGAGCCTTGCAAACAAAGACAATGTTGTTACCTGCTTTGTCAGCAGGGACCAGTACGTACTGATCATGTAATCTATCTAATTCGTTATATAAATCCAAAGAATGAAATCTAAGGAGGGAAATCTTTATATCATTATCATTTAACGAAAACTTAATAAAAATCACATCCCATCTCATCGAAAAATCGGACGGAAGACCTACTCGTTGCTCGCAACGAGATCTCATCTAGTTATTATTATTATTAAAGCATGGAAATATGTCTCATCATACCAATTCAATAAATTATTACCAAGTGCTTGATCGATGAATATCTTGTAATAAATAACACAACAGAAAAGCCTATATTCCCCATATTTCTTGAAAAATATCCCTCAAGTGTGCAATAAGACCATAAATTTGGCCCCAGAAAGAACAAGGCTCACTTAGGGCCTTTTTTGGCCCTGTGAATTTCTGAAAAACTGAAACTGCTTAGGTTTAGTTGACAGTGCATGAAATCTCATTTCTAATAAGACATTTGGCGATTGCGAATCTACCAAAAATGACGTAATTTTCTGGCTAGTCAATGCATTTTGACGTCATGAAATGCGTATTTTCCTCATATCCTGAACAATTCAACAAAAACAGCCAATTTTTAAAACTATTTTTTGATATTTAATAATGAGCGCTATCTCTGATCTAAAATATGCAATTATTTACTGATAGAACCGTTTCTGAGGATTACAAAACATGTTTTATTTTTTAGATCAGAGGGTGCGCTCATATTATTTTTCTTCTCAGAAAGTACTTCAATATACCTGTTTTCCTTAAAATTCAAGAACATTGCAATTCCATAAAGCTTGTTTTCCAAGACCTGGACTTTAAGGAGAAAAATTTTAATAGGAAATGAAAACCCTAAGTCTCTACTTTATCTTGATGTTTAAAATGGAACATAAGGTGTTAGTCAATAAATTGGTATATCTACAGGGCCATTTTATGCATAAAGTGAACATAGCTCTTTGCCCTATAATTCAAGAATACATTAATTTTTTATTAAAACAATGCATACAAAGAAAAGAAGAATGTCTTTGAATTCACTACATGTAGTTAATGAAAATGCTTATCTGGTGATGAGAAAGATTGTGTTTAATTTTTAGTGTGCTAATTTTAAAATGTATATTTACATACAATCTTTTTTTGTTTATAGGGACAATTTCACCACCTTCCTTTGTGGTTCCTACAGTGCCCCAACAAAAAAATAATGGTAAGAAATAACTTTAAATATTGTTATACTTTCACGTTACTCAATACTTACTAAAATCTGATTGGTTTAAATGTTGTTTAACAATTCATAATGTTACCCTCAGCATTAGCAACATACTTGGCAATGGGTACCACAACAACAGTGTCACTTGTGTAATTTATGCATGTACAATTCGCTGTAGATTCACAAAACATCAGTTGTGTGTTTGAAGAAACCGAATAAATTGATGTCAATTGAGTGCAACAATAATGAAATGTAAAATGATAAAGGGCATTCTTAGTATAAAACAAACATTAAAGAGGTCGGTGAATCTTTTTAGAAGCCATCTTATTGAGAAAAACCAAAGTGGGGAGTTTGAAATCTGTTCAGAATGTGAACTTAACTTAATCTCTAATTTTTTTTGTTGAACATCATATATCAATGACAGTGAATAAATAGTGTATGTTTTTGAGGGTATCAATTGAAATTGACACCTCTCGGACAACCATTGTCAACCTCCGCTGACGCGTCAAGTGACAACTGTTTTCTGTTGGGTTGGGAGTGTCAATTTCAGCTCTTACCCTCAGAAATATGCACTTTATATACAATAATACCTTTGAGATATAATGGTTTAATGTTTTACACTTCTGAGTTTTTTTTAATGTCTTAAAAAGTTCAGTTTAATCAATTTGTTTTTGAGCAGCGCAGGAAAAAGATTCAGACTTGGAATCTGAAGGCTCTCAGTTGGTGGAAGATTTGGACAAAAAGCTGAAAAAAATCGAGAAGAAATTGAGGCAAATTGAGCTTCTAGAGGAGAAACTGGAAGAAGGGTACAATTTGACCAAGGAGGAGGTATGAATGTTTATGATTGATTGTATGTTGTTTAACTTCCCTCTCGAGAATTTTTCACTCATATGGAGATGCCACCACTTGCCGGTGGAGAGCTACAAATTTTGTCCTATACTCCGGCACTTATGGCCATTGAGCAGTGAGGGATCTTTTTTGTGCCAGCACCTACTGCGACACGGGACCTCGGTTTATACGTTCTCATCTGAAGAACCGGTCTCCACATCCCACAGTGGGATTCGAACCCGAGACATAAGGATCAACTCCTTACTTCGCGACTGTAGAGCAGACGCTCTAACCACTGCGCCACGCGGGCAACTGAATGTTTATGTAAGCTGTGGTTATGTATCCCGCCTCCTGTCTAAGGAGGAGATATTATTGGGATATGTCAGCTATGGTTATGTATCCCGCCTTCTGTCTAAGGAGGAGATATTATTGGGATATGTCAGCTGTGGTTATGTATCCTCTTGTCTAAGGAGGAGATATTATTGGGATATGTTAGCTGTGGTTATGTATCCCGCCTCCTGTCTAAGGAGGAGATATTATTGGGATATGTTAGCTGTGGTTATGTATCCTCCTGTCTAAGGAGGAGATATTATTGGGATATGTTAGCTGTGGTTATGTACCCCTCTGTCTAAGGATGATCTATGATGGGATATGTTAGTTATGTTTAAGTACCACCTGATTAGGGGATAAAATTTCTTTGATATCCATATAGTCATTGGAATAGATCAACTCTTACATTGCAATCTTTATGTAATGTAGGTATTTTTACTTTGCTGTACAATTATGAATTTTAAACATTTGTCTGGTCACTTTTTACAAGGTGTTTATCATCTAGTTAGCAGTACAATACCGTTTTGAAGTATGTATTTCCCGTTCTAGACTTGCACCAATCTGCTATTTATAAATCAGCACATCTTATAACTTTGAATTAAAATAGATGAGTACATATGAACATCTTGATAAACATGCTACAAGGCCACAGCCTGACATCGGTTTATACATGTATTTTGATTGTTGTTTCAATGCATGTACATGTAATTGTACATGACAATGTATGTATACATGTTTAAAAAAAGTTTGGTTATTGCTTAAGTTTGTTCATGTTGATTTTAAACATTTTTGCAGACTGCAAAGGTAAATATGAAGGAGAGTCTAACAGTGGAGAGAGATAACCTACAGGAGAATGCCAGATTAAACAAGTAAATGGATAAATGATCAACAGGAAGGAAAGGATTGTACTGTATATAGATAGCAATCACTCAGATGTTTTGCAGGAACTTTGCATCTTTTATTTTATACCCTTTTATATGAGTTGTTTTAAAGGGGAGTTTTATTTCAATACTCGAAGCATTTGCTCTGCATGTTAGATGGTAATGTAATATCAGTATATTAATGTCTGAGGTTTGTCTGAAGCTGTTTAGATATTATTATATAAACATGTAATGTAGGAGCAGATATGATTTCTTTTGTCATTCAGTCATTTGTTTATTTGCAGAATTTATCTAGCTTGTCATTACTTGTGCTATGTCCATTTAGCACCATACTTCACACGATAGTCTTGTTTGTGTAGAAATGGATTATGACCTTTGCCATATATGGAATTTCAGATGTTAGGTGATTTTCACAGTTGTGCAAAAATTTTGTCAAGCCCATATTTTTGAGGCCACAAAACAGAGTACTTTACTTTCACTCACTACTTTGAAAATGCTTTGATCCAAAGTCAAATCTAAAAGTAGCTAAATTTTTTGTTGGACAAATCTTTGAAGATACACAATGAGATTTGACAGTGTACTTACATGCAACTCTATTGTTGCAGTGTCATCAAAAATATAGACATTTAAACTGTATTGCATTTGATGCCGATACAAATTAGATCTGTGTACTAAATTTCAGTATCGCAATGTCAAAATATGTAGACAATACAGTTGTATTTTGTCAGATTGATGCCCATTATAAACATGACATACTGGTGATGGTAATAAAATTGTTTTGGAAGTAAACATTTTACACTTAACCAGGATGGTTTTATATACTACAATGTATTTTACAGTGCTCATGTATATTTTATCACTCCAGTTTTGTTTAACATAAAGGAATTTAGATGTTACTTGTTCTTTTTTTCTAGTCTTTAAAAAAATGACAGAAACAGGGAGAGTTACTTTGAAATGAGGAAACTAAAATGTTCCAAGAACATTTTGACTTTACAGATAGTAAAATAAATTTATACTTACCCTCATGGTGAAATAGGAAAATGGATATTTGCTCAGAGGAAGGTCAGGGGTCAAATACACAGGGTCTTGATATTCTATGAAAGGATGTGATATGCAGTATATGTGAACATAAATATGTAAGTCCCACCTCTCAATGTAAATTGGATTAAAGTTTGTAAAGCAGATTCAAGTTTGTTCAAATCATGACCCAGCGGTAGGGTGGGCCGCTATGGATGATCAGAGTTTTACATAGGAAAAATCTTTAAAATTCTTCTTCTCAAGAACATCAAAGTCATGATTAGTCACATTTATATGGAAGCATCCTCAAGTAGTGTAGATTCAAATTTGATCAAATTATGACCCAGGAGGGTAGGGTATGGCCACTGGGCGATCAAAATTTAACACATGAATACATGGACCAAATAACCTGACAGTAAAAAAATGCTCAAAACCCCCCATCCCCTTTCAGAATTAAATGGTAGTCCCCTCAAGTCCCATCATTCAAGATGTACCATATACTTCTTGAACCTCCACGACTGTCTTGAGATAAATTAATACTGTCTGATATCACAATAAATTTAGTTCTCAGTTGTAACTTGTATGTAAAAAGTTTGATGGCTAAATACTTCTGCAGAACAAGAGAGTATATATACTTGCAAAATAATTTGGGAACACCCCCCCCCCCCCCCCGAATCCTACGGGCCTGTAAAGCTGATAATGATATAAGTCTAAGGAATCTCTTCCTAGCCTAATGGTGAGGCCTGGAATGTAGCTTGTATATTTAAGAATGAAACAGATTTCAAAGAAGATGGGCAAACAAGGCGAGCGAAATGCATATACTGCGACAAACAGGAAGGTGAAAAATTAAATCTCAATTATAACAAAATTGTCTTTGATAATTCATCCAACATTAAAGTATACTTTATCTTAAATCTCCACAATTTGCAAAATTCTTACAAAGATTGAAATTATTTGCTTATGAAATAGATACACACTAAAGAGGACAAAAATGATCATTTTTATGCCTGCCATGAATATGGCTGGGACATAAAGAGTTTGTCATGTCCTTCGTTCTGTCCGTGGCACTTTGCATTTAGCTCAGTTTCAACGAAACAATTCAATATATTTTTATCAAACTTAATATGCTGATACATATTTATGAGAGCTACATGTATTCAACTGCATGAACATTTTTGACATTGACCTTTCCTGTGACCCTGACCTCACTATTCATATATTAGTGTTTATCTCAGTTTTAAAGAAATATTCAAGATAGTGTTATCAAACTTCGTATGCTTGCTGATACATTCTAAAGTTAGCTTTTCGACTGCATCAACATTTTTTGACCTTGACCTTTCCTATGACCTTGACCTTACTTTTCTTAAAAATGAGCGTTTAGCTCAGTTTTGAAGAAACCATTGAAGATACACACTGAAGTAAGCTATTCGATTGCATCAACATTTTTTGACCTTGATTTTTCCTTTGACCTTGACCTCACTTCTTAAACTTGTGTTTAGGTCAGTTTTATAAGAAACCATCCAAATGAAAAAAAAAAAGCATCGAAATCGATGCACGATTAACAGAGATATTAGGGGAAAACCCAAATTCACACCTGAGCGGTTTTCTGAATCGCGGTTTTGGCCTTTGTTTCAGTGTGACGTCACTACATGGACCGGCTATTTTGAAAACAAAGGAAAGTGTGAATTTACGAGGACGTTTTAAGAGCTTTATTTAAAGCGACACCGAGACGCACAAACGGGAAAATTGACGAACATAGAATTTTTGCATGATCCATGCAATTCCGGATAGTATTAGGTTTCAGAAAATTACAGGTTTCAGAACCTAAAAAATCTACTTTTATGAAGAAAAAATTTTGTATGGCCCAAGACAAAAACATTGCTGTACTTCTTCCTCCTTATTGTACACGCAGAAAAGTTGAAGACGTTACCATGGTCTCAATTAAAGACCAAGACCAAGAATTTCGATACAATATTCAAAAAAGATTATTAGAACATATTTCTCACCTTTGCATGCTCCAATTGATACAAGTTTACGCTAAAAATAAAAGTGGCGTGACCTTGACATGTACGATAACAACGAAACGGTAGATACGTTACCTTTGTTTTTCCAGCACTTGTATTGTGCAGTCTTTTCTTGCTTTACAGAGCAGTTTAGTTGTCATATCTTCGCTATACTCGCACTTTTCATAAATCTTTATGATACAGCTAGATATCTTAAAAGGAACACGTGATTTTGACTCACTGTGTAACTTTAAAATTGTAGTGACCTGTGTGAACTTTTGTTGTATAGTGACTGTAGTATTAGTGTGTAGTTTTATTTAGAATTAGTTTTTAGCGTATATTTCGTTGGATTATTGTGATATTTCCGTATAAACTGAGGATGACGGAGACCCCTGTCCCCAGAGTAGATTCCAGAGGTAGACAATGTGTGGCTGGAGGCTGCAGCAACACAAAGATGGAGGGATCAGCCTGCATTATTTTCCCTTTAACAGGCTTGTCATTTTGCGTATATGGACGCAGTTTGTGCAACAGTACAGGCAGAATTGATATGTATTAGTGAGAGCTATTCAAAGGCGGATCCAGCACTGGTGCCGGGCGTGCGCCCCCCCCCCCCCCCCCCGTTTGAATTTTTTTAGAATTTTGTTTGTATTATCCTAAAATCAAGGGGAAAACACCTCTTATTTATTAGAATTCGTCAGTTTCCGGGGACCCCCACCTGGAACCGCTGGGGGCTTCGATGCAGCCCCCCCCCGCCTTCTACTGCGCCCCCCCCCCCCCCCCGTTATGAAATTCCTGGATCCGCCATTACTATTCAACAAAAACTTTTGACCTTGAACTTTCCTGTGACCTTTACCTCACTTTTCTTACATCTGCATTTTGCTTTTTTAAAGAAACCATTTTTTATGCTAGCTTATGCACTTATACATAATTTGATGAGAATTTATCATCTATATCCAATTTTTTAGATTTCAATTTCATTTCTAAAGCTATATATATATGGCGTATCTGAGCTAAAAAATAAAAATACGAGACTGATCGAGTGTATATAAACATGTTTATGTTATTTACGTTCAAATTAAAAATTTCACCGATTTTGAACTCATATGTTTCCATAGTTAAATTGATTTTAAACTGTCTTTTAATTAAATGAGGAGTCGGTAAATAAATCGGTTATTGTTTTAAATTTCTAATATCTTTTAAATGTGATTGATTTATATTGTGTAATTTACAGGAAAGTCCTATCTTTATATAAAGTAATAAAACAAATAGAAAGATCTTTTTTAATTTAAGTTTGTCTGAACTTATTAAAAATACGCCATATATGACTTTAAAGAAACTTCAACTATTCTCATTTAACTTCATACACTAATACAAATTTACATGTTGCATAACTAATATACCCTTGTTGGGGTATCATGTCCTATGGACATATTTCTAGTTTCATACTACATGTATAACACAATTTTTTCGATATTATTAATTGGATCTTTGCTCCATTCAGTTTTTAAAAAGTTTATCCTCAAAGTTTCCATAAAAATATACAATTTTTGGTTTACAAAAACATGGAGCAAAGACCCACTAAGTCTTAAAAATACACGACACAACACAGGGGCGGATCTAGCAATTTTTGAAAGGGGAGGTGCAGGTCGGTGCCCCCAACATTCATGCATAGAATTACGCCACAGGCACTTCAAGTCCGTAGCAATGGTTTATCAAAAGGGCCAACCTCCGAACAGAGTTGACAAGTTAAAAAAAAAAAAGCAACTGTGCGCCACATTCTTACATCCTATTTCGGGGTAAAGGGGGGGGGGATCCTCTTACTTTTCGGGCACTTTTTTTGGTTTCAAATGCTTGAATTGCGTATTTTGAACTTCCAGCAACAAAATGGGGGAGCATACAAATCAAAACTTGCATATTAAAACTACAGCAAAAGATTATTCTCAGAAAAAGTGAACCCACTTCCCCCGTATACCACTGGAGCATTTTACACCTTTCTCTTTATAGATTAAAATATCACCATAATAATCTCTTATGTATGCTCCCTTTCATGACTTTTTATTCATACTGTTTAAAGTTAGTTACTTCAGAAGATGGTCAGTGGCATAGCTGAAGGTCGCTGGAATCTTCCAATGATATCAAAGTGAAATCTTGCATGTTACTTGTGGGTGGTCGGGGCCAAGGTTCTGAAGGTACTTGGAGGATGGAATACGGGACACTCTATCTAGGTAGAGTCTATTACTTAACCAGTCAAGCAGTTCGGGAAAATTAATTCCGGTATGGTTTCAGTTTTATATTATGTAGCTGAGTACATCGATCCCGAAGTTAGTTTAGCGGCGGGAGAAATAACGTTTGGCATGATTAGCAAGAACTGAAAATGAAACGGAAGTAGAAACGAAGAGGTCACAAAGAAAAATACACCGAAACATTGATGCTACATCGATGAGCTGTGTTATGTGCATTGTATAAGAAAAAAGAAGCGGACTGGCGGCCGGAGGGTGAGGTGTATTTTTATGGTTTATGTAAGAAACCCCACTAGAAAACGTAGGCCTAGTATAATCAACATCTACCCCTCTCATTTTTCAATAAAGTTAGCACCCTACACTCTTACACAGCTCCTTATTTTCTTTAGAATTTAGTGAATTTATTCAAAAGTGTGTATATATATATTATAAATGTATAGAAGTTTGAAGACTTTCAGTGCGAGAGTAGGGGAATTATTTTGTAATTTTCGAACGTACAATGTCTTGTACATTTTTAATATGTTGACGGTGCAACCGTAAGGGTGAGCGCAGATACCTATATTCAGTTTTAATTTAGATCTGGCTCTTCAAAGTTATCAAACTGCACGAGACTTTTAGTACGTCTAGACTCTGACG